ACAAAGAGTCAAAGAGATATCTGAGCAGCTATGGTGAAAGAGATGTGGGAGGCTTCCGGGGGTCTCCATGGAGCCTTGCTTGACCACTACTGTCTACTTGTTCAAAGAACAGAGAAAGGACGGGGAGTGAAATCAGGAATGTGCCACAAAGTCACAAAAACAAGTAAACTGGAACCAAAACTAGTAAAAAAAAGCCAACGAGAAAATGTCCTTTTCTTCCACCATCGCCTCATGGACGCCATTCTGACCTCCTGTAAGCCATTTTCTAACACATGGACCCTAAGCGGCAATGACAGATAAGTCATCCTCAGAATCGGAGGTACCCATGTCAGTGAAAGGGGTTAGAAGGAAGGGGCAGGCCTCACATCCACAAAGGATCTCAAACTTAAAATTGGATACTACTCAGGATGCCACAGAAAAGGCCCACTGAGCTCAAAAGGCAGAGACGTTCTTCATACGGACATAAGCTTGTGCCCATTACCAGTCCAAGCTCCTGGCATACACAGTGAATCAATATATTTTGTTTTGGGTTTTTTTTGTTTTGTTTTGTTTACAAATCCCTCAAACATTTTGCAAAAGGCAAGACGAAAGTGCGCGGTATTTTATGCATGCTGCCTGTGCTGACTGGCTAAGCCTAAGGCTTGAAAAGGTGCCACAATGTTCACAGCCTTGTTCGGGCACTCTCTTTCTTTTCATGTGCAGGTGGCTTCAGAATATGGAAGTAGCCTGCGTTTCCTGTGCCCCCCCCACCCCCCGCAATCCATGCCCTGACTCCCTGTGACTCTCGCTAGGAGGAAGGCTATGCTAAGTTTGAGAAAAATCATAGATAAGAGGCTGTGGTGGGTACAGCTGGTAATAGCTGGAATCTTACACTCTGCTCTGTTAACAATAGGAAATGGCTTTTGTTTTTCATTCTGTCTGGTTCACAGCCTACAGCCTAGGGACTGACATTACCAAATTCTGAAACCAAATGTACTTGAAAAGTCACATTTAAACCATCCCTGGTCACCATCCTAGGCCAAAATAATCAGAGGCAGGTGCCCAGGACGGATTCTCCAAAGACCCCAACAAACGTCATGAACAAAATTCTCACTGATCATGTGAACATCCACCGTTTGCAAAACAATCTCAGGCTTCAAACACAGCAACTTCTAGCTGTACCTCAATCCAAATGAGGCTTGCACATTAAACTAAAAACTACAGCAAGAATTCTAAGACTGTGCAAGATATTTCAGGCTGACAGTAATAACAAAGACCCGATTTTATTTTATTTTTTTTTTGTTTTTAATTTTTTTTTAACGTTTGTTTATTTTTGAGAGAGAGAGAGACAGAGCATGAACAGGGGAGGTCAAAGAGAGAGGGAGACAGAATCTGAAACAGGCTCCAGGCTCTAAGCTGTCAGCACACAGCCCGACGCGGGGCTCGAACTCACAGACCGCGAGATCATGACCTGAGCCGAAGTCAGACGCTCAATGGACTGAGCCACCCAGGCGCCCCCCCCCCAATTTTATTTTAAATGAACATCAATATAATTTTTGACTTGGACTTTTAAACCATTTTACCAGTGGGATTGACTGAGTTAGTGAAACAATACCATTGATTCTGTAAATGTTCTATAAACCACATTGGAAAATGTTTGGGTATCTTCTGCTATAAAACTAAGGACAGTCTTGGATTCACCTTGCGTGGTAAATTTTAGTCCTGGGCTCCAGTGTAAGACACGTATTCCTTGGGAGGGAGAGTCTGGGGAAGGTAAGTCTGGGAAAAACTGTCCAGGGCTGATGCTGGATTCAACCCAAGGAAAGCAGAGAGACTGGGTTAATTAACTCCAGAAAGACCCAAAGTAACAGATCTTTAGCTTCTGCTTTAAGGGTCAGATGACAATCACTTTCCCCCTAACTTTATGAACCGACATCAGATTCCTAAGGACTGCGGTACTAACCTAAAATAAATGATGCACAGATTTGTAAAACCAACTTAACATGTGAACCTTGTAAGAAAACCTAAAGCAATGGGTCCTAGGTTCCTAAGAAATCTGAAACGGTTTTAACTCCACAGCAAATCCAAGCACATAAACCAATCTTATAGGTACATCGCTTTGCATTCCACAGAACACAATACTGTCAGAGTGAACTTTTATCATCTCAGGTTAATTGGTTAAATTAGGAACGTAGTGTAACGTATGTGGTGATAAGCCTCTATGACAGAGAGTGGATGATTATTCTTTTCATCCCCATACATTTGGAAAAAAACTACTTCAACTGATAACCCATCAAAAACAAATCAAGAGATCAGATGGTCCTTTTCGAGCAAAGCCAGGGTTCCGGGCCATGAACATGCAGCGTTGCTAGGAGAAGCAGGAAATGTGAGTAGCCACAAGCCATCACAATCATGATAACCACCAGCAAGGAACAGATAGTACTCATATGAGGTCATGGATAGATGTTCTATGATACCTATGTCAGGGACTCAGCTTAAAGGCCAGTAAATGGCAGAGAGGGATTCCAACACACAGATACGTCCGACTCTAAAGCCTGAGGTTTTCCCACACAATCCGCCAGTCAAAGGCAGTCTTCAAATGTGCACAGCGCCCGTGAGACTGCTGGACATACTACATGATGCTTTTGAATCTCTGTTAAACAGATACATAACACTCTGGTCCACAAGACTGCAGCCTGTTCACAAAAGACTACAGGTAACCCTCATAATCTGGCAATGAAAATAAAATAGCCCATAGTGGTGAGATTAGTTCTCTACAGAAGACACAGCTCAATCAGCCACAGTGTGGTCACAGGATGACACGGCTGGGATGACAACCAGAAAGGGCCTCCAGCTCCTATTCTACAGGAGCTGGTCTGAAGAAAGCTGTGTTAGCAGCAGTGGTCTGCTCAGAGTTCTTGAAAAAATAGGACAATTTGGAAGAATCTGTGAACACATCTCTAGGGACAAAGGCACCTGTCTGGCCTCTCCAAGTAGCATCTGTTGACTTGTTTACCTAGAGTGGAGGTAGATACGATAGCTATGAGGAGGATCATACTACAGACACTGTCACTGGCCCCCCATCTGGCTACTCCGATCCTGCACTCTTCCAAGAAACTTTCTGATCACCATCTGACTTCTCAGGGTCCCTTTTCTCCAGGAAGACTCCAGTCTATTAACAGACCAACCCATATGAACATACTATGCCACATGACAAATTTATTTATTTATCAATAAAGACAATCCATTGCACGACGGACACGGTTTGGGGCACATTTATATGTGTGTCCTATTGTATTGTTTAATCCACATACCTAGGTGACGTATCATATTGAATACAAAAAAAAATTAGTTATTGACACTTCAAAGACTTTCGTGGAGTCTTCAAAATATAGGAGGCAGGGCTAGGTATTGAATTCAGGTAGGATTCTATACCTTTATAATAAATCCCCAAGGTCTAAGGGTAATTTAAAAGGGAAAGGAGTGTTGGTAGACTTGAAAGTCTATGCAAACTTTTAGATGCAAACTTTTAGATGAGCGATTACTCTAGAAATCAGGTCCAGAAATTTTAGCAGATTTTAAGAAGGATTTTTATCCCAGAAAACTTTAAGAACCACCAGCACGGTATTTTGTGCAGGCCACATGCATTAAGGTGACATTACTCAATTGTTACCAATTTAAGTTTCAGTCACAGGCAAATAGTTTAATGCTATATTAATTGCTGATAGTGCTAATTACTTGATAGTGAACCTGACCTCTGCTCAGAGCTCATTATATGATGCCTCTCCGGGTTCCTTCTATTCTTAAGATGTGAGTAATTAAGGGTGGATGGTGATACGCACATGCATTGGCCGAAGTGCTTCTATTCTCTACTTGGTGGCCTCCAGTTCCCTACCCAAAAGGGAGCATCAGACTATAGCCTGCACTGGGCTGGCCCATTTTGGGGTCATAGCAATCAGCCATGTGCAGGTAGGGCTGAAGATGGGCTTAACATCTTCCATTTTGAACACCTGTTTCTTTTTTATTAGACTTCCCATGTAGCATAAAGTTTTATTACGGGAGAATACAATAGATGTTTTACGGTCACTTTTGCCGGAAATCACCATTCCTTATACCACTCAGTAGAGAAACCGGCAATGTAAGATAAGTACAGTCTGTTTTCTCATTTCTTTTTCTTGTGCAACATTTTATTTTATTTTATTTTATTTTATTTTATTTTATTTTATTTTTTTTAACATTTATTTATTTTTGAGACAGAGAGAGACAGAGCACGAGCGGGGGAGGGGCAGAGAGAGAGGGAGACACAGAATCCGAAACAGGCTCCAGGCTCTGAGCTGTCAGCACAGAGCCCGACGCGAGGCTCGAACTCACAGACCGTGAGATCCTGACCTGAGCCGAAGTCGGCCGCTTAACCGACTGAGCCATCCAGGCGCCCCTCTTGTGCAACATTTTAAATAGTTACTTTAAAATTCAGAAATCAAACCCAATTTTAGCAACGTGTAGCTATGGAACAAACTCTAAAGTCACTGGCTCCCATAAATAATTGTGTGCATTTTCAGTAAAACTGATATTTAATTATAAATCTTTCTATGATGTTACAAAAAAAAAAATACCACCCCAAGATGCTTTGGTCAATTATATCTCAATAAAACTGCGGAGAAAAAAAAGATGCTTTGTAAGAAAAAGGAAATCCTACTGTGTTTGTGACTATCTTATTTCACAGTTAACAAAAAAGAAGTTTAGACCTTTTTTTTGGTCACTTTTGCTCAAGGTCTAAAATTTTTAGCTTCCATAGTCAAGACTGTAGTACAGAATATAATTCTAAATTGGAAGTATATTTTAGAAACATTCACGTTGTAAATATTTGCTAAAAATATAATAATTATTGCAAACCTATTGATCTTAAATATTCTGTTCTTTGAACTCTTACTGATAAAATATGATTATACTCACTGGTTATAAGAAGGAGCTCAGGAAAATGGGATTGAAAGGGTAGTTTTATTTAAAAAAAAAAGTCTCACCATTACTGTGTTGGAAAGATTTAGCGTGGTCTTTAGAGTATCAGCATTTTGACCCTGAAACTGATAAATATGGATAAACATCACTTAATCAGACAAGTGCATTATTTTAAAGAAGGACACTTTAAAAAACTTTTTTTCTCAGACCAATAGTTACTTATCTTGCAACTGACAAAGAAGAAGAGTCCTTTCCAAAGCTTTACACAAGGAGCCAGATTTGAAGTTTTCACTTTCAGTCCCTTATGTGCCTGGACACCTGGGTGGCTCAGTCAGTTAAGCATCCAGCTCTTAACTTCGGCTCAGCTCATGATCTCATGATCTCATGGTTTCATGAGTTCGAGCCCCATGTCAGGCTCTGCGTGGACCTTGCAGAACCTGCCTGGGAATCTCTCTCTCCGTCTCTCTCTCTGCCCCTCCCCTATTCACTCTCTCTCTCCCCCTCTTTCTCTCAAAATAAATAAAAATAAATAAAATTAAATTTTTTTTTTACTTTTGAGCAAGTGTAATGGCTTGAATTTTAATAGGTATGGACAAACAGCTGCTCAATAAATATTTATTGCCTGAATTTTCTTTTAAACTGTTGTATGGAAACCAATTTGACAATAAATTTCATATTAAAAATTTTTTTTTAAATGATCATTGGCAAAGATAGGCTCAAATTCTTCCGAGAAATGGGTGTGGTTACCAATACAAACAAGATGAACAAAAAACTTTGTTTCACTTTAAAACTTCAAATCAGCTACCCCCTACCATCTAAAAATACCACAGAGGGACGGAGATTTCATTTAGGTGTTTGTCTCAAGCAGTGCCTGTCCACTGTTCACACTCCACATCTGTGAAATGATGGTTCTGAACAGAAAACAGAAAAGACAGACCTTTCGGGACTGTCGTCCAGAATGGCGCAGAGAAAATCTCCTTTCAATGCCCTCCACCAAAGCACCAAAGTACTCTACTTTTTCTTGGGAGATATCTAGCTCCCAAGTATTTGGGCTGTGTGTGTGTGTGTGTGTGTGTGTGTGTGTGTGTGTTTTCCAACCCATTCCCCCATGCAGTCATGCCAATCTGCTTACAGGCCCTAAAACATGTGTTACTGGGACCCACCTCAGCAGCTGGCTCCTCCTTCGAGCCCCGTGTCTGAAATACACTCATCACCAAAGCACGTCTGTAACATCCTTTCAAAACCTCTCTCCAGATTCACACTTCCCTCTGAACCCTAGTGCCTCCTGACCACATCTTCATTTTTCAACGTTCTTTGAAGAAACCCACGGTTTAGCAGTACAAACTGCTCTATTTATAGGTTTCCCTCCCCGTGGGATCAGAAGCATCATCAGTTCTGTTTCCCTTATAGCGCTTAATAATCTCCATTTCCGGGGTTAGACCACAGTAGGTATTCAGTAAATTTGTACCTAAAGCAGAATAATAATGCTGTGCTTCTTTTACACTTATGCTGACTGAAGCCAAAATTGCACTTACGATCGTGCACTTAACGATGCACTCGTGACGTTTACGCGCTGTAAACAGACAGATGTGTGAGGAATGCAATGACTCACCACCTAGTTATGTACCCTCAGTGTTGGGATGGCCATCAGACCTTCAGGCCAGCTGCAGACATGGAAACTGCACCTGCAAGTTGCACCTAGGACATGTCAGGCATCAACAGCAACGTAAAGACACACGGATCAACAACTCAACATCACACCCCCCGCCCTGCTTCTGGTTCTGACACATTCAGAAAACAGTGTACGTTAGGTTTAGAGAGACATGGGATTTTCTTGCAGCAGGTAACAGACTGTGAGAGCCAGAAAGAGTTTTTAAGGTCATGCCTCAGGTCCAAGCTTGCTTCACGTGACAGCAAGAACAGAGCCAGGAAGGCAGGACAGCAGTGAAGGTCACAGTCATTGGTATAGCCGGGTGACGGCCCTGAGTTCTCTCATTCCCAATGCGGCAACCCCTACCAGTGCTATGTTCTTCTGTCTTCCTAGTGATGTCTGTCTTAAGCTGCTATTATAATGAGCTTCCCTTGTCTTGGGGGTGCCTGGGTGGCCTGGTCAGTTATGCGACCGACTCTTGATTTTGGCTCAGGTCATGATCTCATGATTTGGCTCATGGGACAGAACCCCACATTGGGCTCTATGCTGACAGTGCAGAACCTGCCTGGGATTCTCTCCTCCGCCCCTCCCCGCTCTCAAAATAAACAAACTTTTTTTAAAAATGAGCTTTCCTTCTTGAAACATACATGAAAGTGATTGGAGGAAAAGAGTTTGGGGGAAGACATACAGGGTAGTGGAGGGAAGGAACAGCAGCTGGTATTTTAATGTTTATTTATTTTTGAGAAAGAGAGAGTCAGAGTATGAATGGGGCAGGAGCAGAGAGACAAGGGGACACAGAATCCGAAGCAGGCTCCAGGCTGTAAGCTGTGAGCACAAGAGCCCAACACGGGGCTCAAACTCACAAACCAAGAGATCATGCCCTCAGCCGGTCAGACGCTTAACCGACTGAGCCACCCAGGCACCCCAGTATTTTAAAGGAACGAACCCAGTCGCAGATAAAACACACACACACACACACACACACACACACACACACACACACACAAACGTGCGCACACACACACACACACACACACACACACACATGCATCCTAAATACACCTGCAATTTCTGTACCATTGTACTTTGGCTGCTTAGAAGGCAGCTAACTCATCCCCAAAACCAAGCAGGGAAGTGAGGCTGCTTCAAACTACTTCTGATGAACTTCCCCAAATGCTTGAGGAGGGTATTAACACTTTTTTAACTCTAAAACTAAAAAAAAAAAAAAAAAAAGTTTGTCCATTTTGCTCTCTGGAAAATCCACTTGGGAGAAGTGTCATTCCCAGATGATACTGGATGAATCCTGTCCCACTGGGGCTGATGGACGAGCAAAGTTGGAGAAGGTGGAGTCAATGAGAAACCAGGCTCTCCTCCAGGACTTGCATTTCCCTCAAACTGCCTGTCTTTACGGTCTGCTTATGAACCCTTCCCACTGACATGCACATCCAGCATATCTACAGTACGTGCTCTTCTGAAAAGCTGCAGGCAGGATCGTCCTGCCCTTCTGGTCTCAGCCCAGTGCCCATCTCTCCCATGAGCTCATACCGTGTCCTGCTTCTGCAGCAATTATATAATCTGAACAATATACTTCAGTGCTTAATCATCCACTCCTGTGCATGTGAGAAATTTCTTCCCCACAACACACATATCTTGCAATCAAGAAACAGATCTACACTTGTGGGTTTTTCTTTTCTTTTTTTGTATTTATTTTTTTAATGTTTACTTACTTTTGAGAGAGAGGCAGAGAGAGCACAAGCGAGGCGGGGGGAAGGGGAGGGGCAGAGAGAGAGCGAGACACACAATCCGAAGAGGCTCCAGGCTCTGAGCTGTCAGCACAGAGCCTGATGCGGGGCTCAAACTTGTGAACTGTGAGATCATGACCTGAGCCAAAGTCAGACACTCAACCAACTGAGCCACCAAGGAGCCCCTGGGTTTTCTTTTCTAATAACCTCCTCAGTTAAAAGAGTTCAAGGATTCACAAGTGAGGAGGAAAAAAAAAAGCCTGAGAAGTGATTCATATATGATTTCTCCATTCATTACTTCCTCTGGGCAGAGTAATCAATTTAGAACATACCAACGATACCTGTTAATTGCTTCATTTTTGTCTTAGAGTAACTATAACTCCAATTAGATTTTCTTCTAGAGTCTTTTGAGAGGCAGACCGACTTTTGGTTCTGTTTCAAATCATTTAAGGACCAAAAAGATAACTGGAAATAGTGGGTAGAAATTCCAGGCAACATTCAGTATGACTTTGAAGTCCAGCGAAACATGAATAACTTGGAACCCTATTCGTATTTCATAGTGATGCTCATTCAATCATTCTTAATGTGAATTTTTTTGTGATCAGGAACTTTGTTTCAGAGGCTATGCTTAATATGCTAACCTCGATGGTAATGACCACTTCAGTGTTTATTAAGAACTTACATTTTCCTCCTACTGGAGACTACTCAGAACTCAATAAAAATCTGTCCCTCACGCCTTTATACCTTGACAACAAGGTCTACACTGGCGAACAAAATTTGTTAGGAGGTGGGCAATGGCACATCCATCATCCTCTTTCAAAGCTCATGTTCAATCTGAGAGAAAGACCTGGCTTGCTATATAGTCAAGTCTTCCCTCTCCCGCTTATTTTTTTTTTTTACCAAGACTGTTGATATAGACTAGATTATCTGAATCCTTAAAGTATAAAAGTCATGAGGCCAAATAAACTTTAAAAGGTTGGATGCACGTGCAGTGCACTTAGAATTGAGGTTTCGGCTTCTTAGTAAAGAAACTGAAAGTACTTGTTTAGGAAATAAGAGAAAAATGTCCTATACATACACTGGGTTTTGAATCACATTGGAAAAACACTGTGATACTATAAAAACCCTTACCTTCTCCTATCTCCCCAGTGTTTACAGTCTATGATATTTTGTTTCTTTATTTCATTGGTTCAGATAAGTTTCCTGGGGGGGTGGGGGGGAGGCGGGAATCAACTTATAACCCTTTTTAAACATTTTGTTAGGGTTTTTTCCTGTTTCTCTTAAAAATAGCCTAGCTAACGTTTACGGAATGTGTTCCAGGTGCCAGACCGCATGCAAAGGGCTTGAACTGGATTATCTCATTCAATCTGCAGGTAAACTGAGGAAGTGGGCCCCGTGTGAAAGGGATAAACCAAGTGGTCAAGGTCACAGGGCACACATGCAGGGCTTGGGGCTGTCGGCCTCATCATGTGCTCATCCTGGACACATTGCACTGACATCTGACACCTGCCTCTGGAAATGAACACATGAAGGCTTTAGGGGGTGGGGGGAAGCTGGGCAAAATGCCCCGCGTGTCACTTCTACAGGGAACCAGTAGCTGAACGTTTTCACAACAGAGATGTGTCTTCCAATAACACGTTCTGTCACCTGATGAAATTCGGACATTTCTCTTCAAAGAAACCTTTTTTTCAAGCCTTTTACAGCTTCACCTCCATATAACGAAAAGTTGCTGCCTTTTTTTTTGTCCTTTTTTTTTTTTTTTTTTTTTTTTAAGGAAGGCTTGGGAAGCTGGGGATATGCAGCAGACACAAATCAGGGGCAGAACAAAT